TTCCAGCAGGTGTGGTGTGCGGGAATGGCCTCGTCCCTGCTTTTAGGCAGTGGCACAAAGTGATGCATAAACTCACTGTTCCTGACATGCGAGGGATCATTTTGTTCTGTGACAAAGGAGTATGTAGGGAGCTTCTCGGACTCGGGGAGACAGACAGAAGCACCCTGCTGCTTCTCAGTAGCGTAAAAAGCATTGCTTTGTTCAGCATGGGAAAGGTTTTTAAAATGAAGACTCCTGTTGTGATGTCTTCATAGTTTATCAAAAAAAATTACATTTCTAGTGCCACAGAGTGTTCTGTGTGGGTTCATTTGTCAGCGGGTATTAAGTGGTTGAATCAGGACTTGTTTTTCTGAAGCGCATATGGTTCAGCCAGATGCTGTGAGCACCTACCCGCCATCTCGAGGATCTCGCTGTAGCGGGTCATGTCGGCAGGGTTGCCGCGGCCTCTTTATTGCTGTGGATTTCTGCCAGAATGCTACGAATGGTGGAAGAGCCAAGCGGCCTGCCATTAGTCTGGTTACTTGTGGGAAGGGCCGCTGACAGCCATTCCGGTTGGTTGGTTGCAGGATGAAGGAACAGGCAGCTGGGGTCTTTTTTTTTTTTTCACCTTGTTTGGCTTTGTAGTTGCTCGGTGGATATTGCCTGATAAAAGGCATTTTAATGGGCTGTTGGCTTCGCAGTGTATGTATGTGTTGGTTTCCATTATTTAGGTTGTGGTAACTCACATAGTAAACTGATTCATTTCAAACATCTGTGGTTGCAGTCCCTCACTTTCATCACCCTCTTTCTCAGTAATGCTTCTGCTAAAAGCTCTGATTCTGATTCGGCATAAAAATTCTATGGAAATGAGGCTGTAATTTTTCCCAGCTTGACTATCTTAACACCGCCACCACCCCCACCCAAATTAGTGATGCAGATGTTCAGCTTCTGTTCCTGATGAGAATATTCAGATTTGGAGAGGCCGCTCCAGAATTTTTGTTACTTTTATCTGAAGCTGCCTGGCATTGGTAGTTGTTTTTCCAGTTGCTGTATCTGGAAGAGGAGGAAGCTAAACTGCACTGGCTTCCACTCCAGTGGCTTTGCTTTGTTACTGGGTAGTAACGTGTCAGCAGCAACATCGCCATGAAGCTGAATCTGCATTATAATCTGCTTCACGACAGACGTGTAGGTCATTATAACTTCAAAGACATGAAGTAGGAATAACAGCAACACACTTGAGATCAGTGCTGTGCGGGCCAGACTGCAGTGCGCTTCCACATCCGTAAGGGCTGCGATGGTGACAGGCCGGTGTTTTCAGTGGCTGTGGCATCTGACAGGGGAACAGCAGCACTGTCCAGAGGGGTTAGCAACAGGGAATTACCTGAACCTGCAAGGAGGTAAAAAATTGGTACCATTAGCAGCAGGAAAAAAGTCAGATAAAAGTTTGAGAGCCTTGATTCCGTGACTGCTCTGTAACCTGTATGCAGAGCCATCGGGGTGTCACGCCGTCTGTCCCTGGGGCCAGCCTGGCAGTGCTGGTGTGTGTGTTCTGCCATTTCACAAATGGAATAACATCATCTCGTAGGAACTTTAGCAGATTTTTCTTCCCCTCTGAGCTCTCTTGGGTGCTGATCACCTGGTTCTGGTGGCTGCTGGTGTTCCACGTCATCTGCAGTTTCCGACAGAACTTCACCAAGTCTGTTTAACTTGCCAGAAGGGCTTTGCTGTCACTTGTCTTCTGTAGTGACCCTTGACATCAATAATCTGTTCAGGTGTTTTGCAGTGACTCTGACCTTTCTGCATATTCGATTCTGCATGTCTTTTGCTGCAGCGGAATCACTGATTCCATAAGGAAATTGTTTTCTAACTGTAATTTGGGCCTGCCTAGTTAAAATCTTGTACCTGCCTAATTAGAATTTTTTTAATCCAGTGCAATCCAATTCTGGAATGTCCAGATAGCAAGATACCATACTCATAAGAGTGTGAGTCCTGCTCAGTTAATATCTTTATCTAGGGGTGAAGGGAGAGTCGATGCTGAGAAGGAATGTCGACCAAAATGATGGATATCAGGACTTTTATTTTGTGTATTTTCTCATGGCATCTGTGTAAGTAGAACTCTGTCGGTGGGAGCTTTGCAAGTGTGAATGAGACTTAGTTTAGGCCTTGTAAAGGTGAATTGTATGGAGTAGTTTGTAACACTGCGTGTACCTCTGCGTGTTCCTGTTTAGACAGCTGGATTAACTAGAGGTTTTGAGAAAGTTGTGGATATCGGTCATTGATTAAAACAGAACCAAGGAGTAGGAAAAAAAAAATAGCTTAAGGTAACTGCCTGAGCAAGGGTTAGGACGTTGCTGTGGCTGGTGATGACCAGCTTGTTGGCGAGCTGCCTCGAGACGCAGGAGGACCCTTCACAGGAGCCACAGCTCGACAGGGGAACCTTGTCGTAAAGGCAGGGCAGACTCCGCCGTCGGTGAGAGCTCCGTGGTGTTTCTGGATCTGGCGTTGCTGAATTTGGCACGCAGCATCTAGGAGAGGGGAGTTTGAGTGTTACAAATCGGACATTGCTTTGAAACAGCATAAAGGCAAGATGAGGGCAATCAAATGCTGTCTCAGGATGCTGTTTGACTTCTGCTTAAATGGCTCTAACTTTAACCAGTGAAGTTCTGGATTTAACAGAAATGCTTTAAATCCTTCTGGTGTTAAGCAAAAAAAGCCAATCACAGAGTGCAACTAATTTGTAGCTGGTTAAATCAAATGTGATCACTCAGTATGATCTCTGACAGAATCTGTCCTAAAATTTTAAGTAAAAGGTTTTTATGACGTGTCTGCTTCACTGATTGTATATAGTAATTAGCAGATTGGATGCAAAAAAGACAGCATTTGATTCAAACTTGGGTTTGAAATCTTACCAGAGGTAAGATTTCTTACAGTACGTCGTGGGGGAGATGGGGCTTGGGTATGCTGCTTCTCTCTGCCCCTCTCCTTCTCCTTTTTTTGTTTTTAAATACTCTACTATCTATGATTTTCCCTGTTCCTTACAATGGCTGTGACTGATGTCATTGATGAAGCATCGGATAAATTCTAAAAGTGGAAGCTGTAGCCTGGTGTGATCAAGCGCCTTGTCAGCGTGCCATAACCTACAGCAGGAAGAAATGTTGTATTTCCTAATTTCCTGAGCGAAGTAACTTGGCAGCGTGCCGAGAAGTTCTCCCAACTATATACGTGTCGGAGTGGAACAGAAACGAATTCCAGTCGTCTGCAGCGCCTGATGGTCGGCGGTTGAGATCTGGCTGTTGTGGTCCGTGAGAAATTGTAGACTCTGACTTGGATTTTTTCATTTCTGCTTGGCTCCTGATGAAGTTTTAGGCAGCTGTTTGCTTTAGTGTCCGTCCGTGTGTTGGAAGAGATGTGGTAGCAGTGCAGCGTGCTTTGCCAGTCGGTACTGTTCTTGATACTGAAACACCAAATGTAATACACGTCAGTGACAACTTGAAACCTTTTGTGCTTTGAAAGAAGATGGATGGAGGACAGAAGGATGCTGGAGGACTCTGCCTTCCAAAAGGGGCAAGGCTGTCGCAGAATACTGCCGCACCGCTGGGAGGGGATGAGTGGGGGCAAGCCGTGTGCTGCGGTGGGTAGCGTTGCAGCTATTTGTAGGCAGTGTCCTGTTTCTCATGAAGTGATGCTACTGATAAACATCAGTCCTTTCGACCTGCAGTTAATGGGTCAGAACCTCAAAAAACAAAACCAGAGCAGTGTCCTGTCATGTTCCCCCCCGGCCCTTGATTCATCTGATGGTGTTTCTGGCCAAATGAGGAGCTGGCAAGCACTCACTCCGGACAGCTGCTTCTAAGCACACCTGGAAAAAAGTCTTAACTTTAGTTAACCCATGTTGTTAAACGCTTGTATGATCAGCTTCTGTTCATCCTGTTCTCCTCTTACGTGCCTGAGGTTTCGCACACTTGAAAAACTGAAATGCTGCGAGCTGACATATTTTGAAGGACCAGGATTAGTAATGAGAAACTGTAATAAAGGGCCAAAATAAAATAAAATGTGGTTCAAAATACTGTAGCTTGATGTGAGATCATGTGTTCCAAGTATTTCCTTCCATTTTTCTGTGCTGTGTGAGAATTTTTTTTATTAGCTGGTTTACTCCAGGGAGTTCAGGGTTCTTCTAGCGCGTCGCCTCGTATAAAGGCTGCAGGCGAGGGTGGTGTGCGAGAGCTTCAGTGGGTGCCGGATTCCCGAGGGCTGCCCTGATGTCAGAGTGTCCGTGCAGGTGATTCTGATGACCTGCGGTCGCTGATCTGTGTGAGCTCCCTCACCCCAGGCAGTGAGGTATTTCCAATGAGCATCTTTTGTTTTCTGGTAAAATCAGAAATGCAAAAAGGAGTGGAAAGCTTTCGGAGGTCAAGGGGACTTGCAGATGGAACAGAGGGCGAACAATAGGGAAGTTCTTACAAGCGTGTTTAGGGGAAAAAGCTCAGGATTTTGGTTTCTGTTCCCAATCTGTGTTTGGTCTCGGTGATAGGTTGGAGTGTGTGGAACATGAGCACCTTGTCCAGCTCAGCCTGCAATATATTTTTTTGTTCTTAGTTCAGCAGTTCACATGTAACTTTATTTCAGTGAACATTTCTGGTACTGTGCTTCCTTTGCTGCAAGAGGAGATGTGTTCATGTCTGCTTCAAGTTGTTTCGTTTCTTTTCCAACCTTGTTTGTGGAAATTCTTGTGTGACCAGCTCGGTGATGTGTTTTGGTTTTGGCAGCGGGGAGCGGGAAGTGCCGTGGCCGGCACGGCTTGTGCTGAGCTCTGCCCGGTGACACGCTCTGACTTGCGGCGTGCAGACTGCCCTGGCTGCTCGGACTGCGCTGCCATGGGAGGGGGGAGCACACCCTGCCACGCACCATTCCGGTGGTCATGAGTTTGTAAAAGTCATGGGTTATGTCAGGTGAAGGGTAAAATGTCGTGAAAGTCTGCTAATTTCTTGTAAAAATCGGTAATTTGCTTTCTTTTTTCACAGGTTCTTTAAAGAACTGGAGGCCAGGCATCAGAACAACATCTTTATTGATGACATCAGCGATATCGTTGAAAAGCATACTGCTTCCACATTTGATCCCTATGTGAAGTACTGCACGAATGAAGTCTACCAGCAGCGAACGCTGCAGAAACTGCTGTAAGAGCGAGTTTTGAAATATGGTTGTAAAATCACCCCATTTGTAGGAGGAGTGAGTAGCAGGCTGCGGTATTTGGTGTAAAACCTACGGCTTGCGACTAAGCGTGTAGGTACAGAATCACAGAATAGTAGTAGGGGTTGGAAGGGACCTCTGTGCTTTCCTGAATGTGTGCATTTCTTTGAAGTAATTGAGTGAAAACACGCGTGGCTGCATAGTCCCATCCTGTTTGTGGTCGTGGGTTACATTCCCTCTCCACTGATAAGCACCGTTTAATTAGTGCCAAAGACACGCTTTCCGCCTGCGTTACGGGTGAGTGAGTCTGCGCTCGCGTTTGTGTGTGGGAGAACTTGAGGTTTCTAAATGTCGATACGGTGCATAGTAAATAAAACAGAAGGCTTAGTTGATGTGGCTTCATCAAACCACACTTACCTATTAATAAAATCATGATTTATTTATAATCTAGCAACTATCACCATTCGCTGGTAAAACATTCTCTCCCCCTTTTTCCCACCAGAGCCACAAATCCAGCATTTAAAGAGGTGTTATCACGGATAGAGTCCCATGAAGATTGCCGGAATTTACCGATGATCTCGTTCCTCATCCTTCCCATGCAGAGAGTTACTCGTCTTCCCTTACTGATGGATGTGAGCACAGAATTAGTTTTCTATTTTTCCTCGATGCGTGTTCTTCTAGTGTTAGCGTTCTTTCATATTCGATTCCTGTTTCCTTCCAGTCTCTTCACACCTGCTTACTTACACCAGGCACAGGGCTGTAGATACTGGTCTGTTGATCACAAAGTACTGTGGCATTTGATTGCTTGCTGTGGCTGGTACCTCCACTCAAAAGTTAGATATTTAGACATTCAAACAGAAAAACTGTGCAATAAAGGGCCAAAATGAAGCTGAAAACAAGGAGAAACCAAGCACAGAAATTGTGTATGGTGTTATTAAACCCTGCACTTAAAAACCAAGACTTCCTGTGGTATAGGTGAGGCCAGGGTCCTTTTGCAGTAAATGCTGACTTTCAGGAACAGGCTCGTTACGAGGGTCACCGTATAATGCTGAAGAACGAACCCCGTTCTCAAGGCGCGGGAGCTGTGCGTGAGTGGAGCAGTGTTGGTGCACGTGGTGTCCCACCAATGTGTTACTCCGTGAGATCTTTCCTCCCCTGCAGGTTACCGGGTGACTTAGGAGGTGTGAGGAAGTGCAAGTGAGGATTTGTGAAGCAAAATTCCCACTGAGATTCGTAGAATTTCAGTTCAGGTGCCAGAACTAAAGTTGTGAGGTGGACCACCAGCAACAGTGCGGATTGAAAGCCAGGCTCGGATTCTGGCATTGGTGGGATCCAGAAACGGGACTAACAGTTCTGTTCTCCTATGTATTTGCAAATTGTGCACTGGTTAATTTGATCATCTGGATTGTTACTTAGTTCACCCATGGCAATTGAGTACTGTCGTCTCTGCAGTACATTTCTGGGTAAAAAATAGAAGAATAATCCAGTATTACTCTGGTGTGTCACTAGGTGTGCCTTCCCCTGCTTAGTTTTTTCTTTTCTTCACCTCCTTCCCCTCTTCGGCTAAAGAATCTAAATGAGCAAGGCAGGCATTTTATCTTCCACTGTTTGGTTTTGTTTGTTTGTTTACTTGGAGACGGTTGTGTAAACCTTCATACGTTCAGACTTCAAAGTGAATTTGGTTTTTAAGGCTTCAGTACCAGAAATATGACTCCAACTGCATTCGGAGGGGAGGAAACATAAACCAAAGACTAATTTAATGTAAAATACCTTACGATGTTTTTGTTTCCTAATCAAAAAAGTGATTTAACTGGTATGTCATGGCATCAAAATGCCTGTTTCTGATGGGACTGCGTCTTCACCTCTAACTCATGAGAATAAACTCTGTCAATAGGTATAGCTGTCAGGTGTAACAGATTTACCTCTCGTTACCTTCCAGTGCTTCACCTGTTTGGTGCTGCAGTTGTCTTCCCCTCCATGGGCTGCATTGTTTTGATGAAGTAACACTGCTATGTACATTTATCCATGGTATGCATAACAGTGTGGCCGTAAGAGCCTTTTCTGTTAACCCGCTGGAAATCCTTACCTGCCCCAAAGAGGTCAGATGGAGTCCCCTGGTGCGGTTTTCTTACTGCAAGCATAGCTGTACAGAAATGGGTATTTCAGCTGCCAGGAAAAGCTTAGTGCTGAGCCGGGGCAGGTGCGGCTGCAGTGGGATCGATCGCACTGTGCTTTGCACAGAGTTCGGGACAAGATGGCAGACACTTCCCGTCCCTGGGAGGACGTGGCCTGCCTCTTCCGACCCGTGGCCGTGCAGGGAGGCTGGCCAAGGGGTGCAGAGCATCCCCGCGCTCCAAAAGCTTGCGAGGGAGGCATTTCGTGCTGTGGTGCAGCTTGCTGTGTTCCCTCGTTTAACCCAGAGCATTCCGTGATTCTGTGATCCCAGCCCACAGCTGTGACTTCACCTCTTTGATTTCGATTAATACGTGTGTAGAAATCTGCACTGGTCGCAGTCTGTGCTGCCAAGTCCTCTGAAGCAACTGACATCTCGTTTCAGACTATTTGTCAGAAAACTCCTAAGGATTCGTCAAAATACGAGAACTGCAAGCAAGCTCTGAAAGAAGTGAGTAAGGTATGTGCGAATGTGGATGCAGATTTTTTTTCTGCTTTGACTGTTTTCCTTCCTAAATTGCACTGCATGCTTTTGTCATTTCAAAAATCCCCTGTGAGAAGTGGCTGCTTTTGGGTTTTGTTAGTCATTTAATTGATTTTTTGCCAGGAATCGATGGTGGAAGAAGAACACAAGTCCCTTTTGATGTATAGGTTGTAAACTTCAACAGCACTTACTTGTATATTAAACTCTGGTGCCTTCAATTTGAACCTGATTACCAATTTTTTTTAAACTGGGGGGAAATGCCAGTCCATCTTTTTCTTATATTTATGGTCTGGAAATAGACAGCTCTTTAAAGCAGAACACTGTAGTATGAAAAGAAAACCGAAGGATCTAAGGCCTGGCTGGATTTTGCCTCCAGGCTGGCAGAGTTTCAGAAGCTATAGGGCACCGCAGACTGTTGTGCAGTGGGAAGCACTGGGCGTTCTTTACGAAACCAAAAAACCTTTCTCTGTGTGTTGGGGCTAGACGTTACCTTGGGCCGTGAACGTTCTTGTCTGCTTTAAGGGGAAAATTGATGTTTTCCATCCATAAATAGCACAAACGGGAAGAGCACTAAAGCATAAAAACTCTAAATTGTTTTATTTAAGAAGGGCCCTGAGGGATTGCTCTCATGCGTAAATTACTGTTTATTACTTAAGAAAATATCCTAAACTTGGTGACGCTCTGCGGCTGCCGACATAGCTGGGTTTTTCCGTAGGAACAGTGCACGGTGCGTTAAGTGTTTGATGACAGGAGGAGACGAGGCCCGCTGCTGGCTGGGAAATCCACGAGCCGTCATGCCTTTCCCTCTCTATCCCCTGTTTTTATGTGCTCCCCCACCCCGCGGGCAGGCTGCAGTAGAACTGTAGCATGCTTTAAAGCTGCGTTCCACGGGTCAGCTGCAAGGACGCTTTTCCTCAGGCGCTGTTTGCCGTAGGCTGACTTTCTGCTGTGAGCACGCTGGGTGGGGGGTAGCCACGGTGGCACGGCCCGCTGCCGCGCCAGGCTGGGAGGCTGTGTGTTGGGTCAGAGCGTGATAACCCTGCTCAGTCAGAACTTCTGGCTGAGCCTTTGCACCGTCTGCATGCCCCCAAAGAATAAACAGTTATCCTGGTACCGCAGCGTTGCTCGGGTCGAGAGGGATCTTGGGAGTTGTCCAGTCCAGCCTCAGCGCAGAACTGGCCCCAGGTCAGAGCAGGTCACTCCGGCCTGGAAAGCCTCGTGTCTGCGACCCAGCGTCAGTTCCTTTGTAAATGTTGTGCTTCCTCAGAAGCATGTGTTGTAAAGGAACAGTCTGTGTTGGAAGTCTGGAGCACGCTAAACCTGTTAAATAAATGTCTCCTTTCTAGTTGGTGCGTTTGTGCAACGAAGGTGCTCGGAAAATGGAAAGGACAGAAATGATGTACACCATCAACTCCCAGCTGGAATTTAAAATCAAGGTATGGTGGCGATAGTTCCGGCCATAAATCATTTAGCACGTGACTAGTTTTGACTACAGGTGAAGTTTCGATAGGTTCATTGCAAGCAATAAATGAAGTAAATTAGCATAGGCTGTAATATTGATGTGACTTGTCAGTCGAGGAAGACAAATTCATACTCTGGGGTAGCGGAAGCCCTGGAAACTCGGAGTGACAGAGGACTGCTGCATCTGACCAAGTAGGCTAAGTTTCAGGTTCAGGCTTTTCAGGTAAAGAGAGTATTTGGATATATATTTTTAAAAAGAATAAATCAGCATTAATTACTGAAGAATGAGGTATGCGTGGACACTGGGTTTACCTTTGGGGATGAAAACCCGTCCCTGTGGAGTGGCAGTGCCTGGTAACGCCGGTCGTGGCACCGTTCCACGCTGGTTTGTGTGATTCAGAGCAGCGTGCCCGACGGTCCTGTCACAGCTCACGCAGTCGCACATCGCTCTGCCCCTGTCCGTCCTTCTCATCATTTGTTTCCTCGAGGCTCGTCACAGTTTGAATTGCTTTTTTCTCACTCTTTTTCCTCCTCGCATAAAACAAAAGCAGATGAACACACAGCATCATTTCTCCTTGTCTGAGAACCGCTGCAGCTCTCCGCTGCCAGCGGGGCCGCGTCGTGGAACAGAACGCCTGGTTCTGGAGCCTCTCGCAGAACGGGGACTCGTGGGGTGCATTCTGTGATTAACGACATGTTTTGGGGGAGGTGCTGCACTGCAGAGCAGTTCTGTGTCTCGCTTTGGCGCGTTGTCCGGCAGCGTGTAAACGCATTCTGATGAACACCATCCCCTGTGAACTGACTCTCTTCCCTGAGCTGTAGGTAGTTCTGAAGTTCTCCTTAGGCTTCTGACTGCAGCAGAAGAACAAATCGCGTGTCTTTAGAGAGGGAATTAGTATTTGTCATTGTTTGATGCAGTAAACAGCAGAACTCCCAATAGCATCTTCATATCGCACGGTAATTCTTGCAAAGAAACGATCTGTTACGGCAGGATAGAAATTAAAACTTTGGTCAACTGTTTTCATTTTAATTAGAAGGCTTCTTTTACAGCTTTTCTTTAATATTTGTTAAATTAAGTATTCTTTGCTGTAAAGACTGAGTTGCTGTAACGATTTTGCTGGTTAGGGGAGAGGCTGCCTGCTGCTGTTGAGGAGATTTCTCATGTACGTGAGAGGAAACGTGTGCCTGAGTAACTGCTCCTAGGCCAGGGACGGATCCTGGCAGTATCTGACTGTCCTGACTGACAGCAGCATGAAATAAAAAAGCCTGGCCTGTGCCGAGTCCTGTTGGGAAGTGTTTGGTGGGAGTGCGGTCTGTTTGTACCAGGTTCTGCCGTGAACTGCCGGTTCGAGGGGTCACTGTCGGTGGGAGATGGCTGAGGTCAGTGTGTCGCACGCGCCAGCCCTGGGAACTGCAGCCAGGCAGGAGTTAGCCAGCTCCGCCTGCAGCAGCACCTGCGGCACCCTCGGACACGCGCCAAAATCCTGTGATACCTGCCCGGAATAGCGAGCTGGGCAGCAGCAGACATTGGGATAGGGGAAACTACGTAAGCCAAGCTACACCCCTATTAATACAGGTCACTTTAATAATCCCAAGTTTTAATTTGGCTAGTACAGGTGGTGTTAACCCTCAGATAACTTCAAAGAGTCTTAGGATATGGAGGTATTCCAGATTTTTTTCTTTCTAGTACTGAAAATACAATTTACGCTGTTGCTAAAGAAAAATCCTCTACCGTCAGTCTTTTTGGTAGGAAAAAAATAGCAGACGTAGTCACAGTTAGTAGGGGGTTTATTGCACTTTCAAGATCTTTCTTCAAGTACATTTACTTTCTTCTGTTCAATGGTTGTTAAAATACCACTTCTATAAATAACGTCTCATTTATTAGCACACATGTAGTAAGTAGAGGTTCTTGTTTTTGAAACACAGTTCTTCAGAGCATCTTGGTCAGTCTTTGAGGAAATGCTGTCTCCAGAAAGGTCTTTTTCCTCTTCAGTGTATTTATTTTCAAACTTCGCCTGAAACCTGAAAGCAATAATAATATTGACTGGTAACAACAGTAAATAAACGGTCTCTTAACAAGTGAGGTCACTACACCGGCGAACAGTGGTGGGTGATAGTCTGAAATAGAGGACTCTGGATCATCCGAAGTGCTCAGGCAATCCGCTTTGCGTTTCATTCGTAGTTTTCAGATCCACGGAAGTACCTGAGAGCGTTCGGGAGCTCCGGTGGTCCGTGCTCTCTGACTTGCCCCGGGGGAAGAGGATGCCCACTGTTACTCCAGTTTTGCCGATGCGACAGCCCCTGTGTAGTTGGTCCCAGTACGTGCTGTAACGAGCAGCTCGCACTAGTGTCGTGGGAGTAACAGCAACTTTATGTTGTGTTTCTGTGTTTTTATGCAAGGCTTTTTTCTGTAAGCATCTTAAATACAACCACGTGGTGGCTTGGACCTTAGCTGTGGTTTGGGAGTTTGCCAGCTGGTCTACTAAAGACTGCTTTGGCCAAGTTTCAATGCATTTTAGGTTCTGACAGCTTGTTCTGTATAGAAAGAAGATGGTATATGTGACGTACTCTTTTAGCAATTAAGGAAGAATTAAGATGAAAATAAAAGCAAGCTGCCTCTGGAATACAGTCAGTTAGGAAAATGTGATTAACTCGCTTGGAGTACAGATTAGAGGAAGCTTCAGTTCATGCTCAAATAGAAATTTTTTGAAGTACTTCTTGTCTGCAGAAGAATCATCAGGGTGCTATAATTCTGTTTTCTAACTGTTGTCAGTTAGGTAAACTGTTTCTGTTCTAGCTCGGCCTCACGTGGTGTGTTGGGATTTTTATTTGGCATTTTGCTAGATTAACTGTAGAGCATTTCATGGGAGTACAAGAGAAGCTGCTCAGAAATTACATCGCTTGTATGTGGCCAATCTGTAGAATTCAATTTTTAGATTAATCTTCAGAAGGTTTTATTTTTAAATTTTTCATCTTTGTCACCAGAAAAGTTTTTTCTGCAGAAATGCTCTTGTGTTCATGAAACAAACCCATTTTATAAAAAGCTGAACGTTGATATAAAACTGTGTTTGATTCCTGTGGTAGAGCTTGGGAGCTCCTCTGGCAGTTTCATATCTGGGACTGAGCTAAACTGGCCTTTCGTAACCTGTGAGGTTTGATGAGGTGTCTTTAATAAAATGCCCATCCGTAAGAAGAATGATACGATGCAGTCCTAGGACTAAGAAGAAGTCTAAGGACTAAGAAGTCAGAGCTAGCCGCTGATCTGAGGTGAGTGTCAGTTGTCAGTTAATGAACTTGAAGTTACAGTGATTTATAACCAGAGTGATTTACTCTGATTCACTGAGAGAGACTGGGATAAACATCTGTTTGCGAAATAATGGATTTCAAATGAAATTGTACATTTCCAAATTGGAGAATGTAGTAGAAAATGCATTTAATAAACTAATGGCTAATACAAAACTAGAAACCTGTAAAAAAGCCATGGAAATCAAACCAGAATATGTGAGCTTGAATTAATTGGGAAGAAGTGTCCAAAGGGAAGCTCATCAAGATTCAGTACACGAATATCTCGGTAGTGTGAATGCAGAAATACAAGGGCCATAGCAGATAAATGAAATACGTTGGTATTTCTCAGTAGTCGCTTTGAAATAACAGAGGTTTTGAAAGGTCCCTAGTGTAGGTCTGAAGTTTCTCAGAGGTTTTGTTCCATGGAGTCTGTGCTCAGGTACCAGGTGAGGGTGGGCATTCGATATTGCCTTTTGGGGTACACAGGGGTGTGAATCTGTCTGGGGCAAGGGGAGAAGCTCCAGGCTGCTCTGATTTGTAAGAATTCGCAGGAGTTCCAGAGAGCTGCTAGGTTCTGTAATTCTGAGCAACCTTCACCCGCCCTCAGTGCGCTCCCTCCTGAGGCAGAGCATGGGAAGGGAGTTCTGTGGTACTGCACGGCAGCAGAGAAAGCATCTCCAGAATAGTTGTTCCGTCGTGTGCCGCTTCGGAGTCACTGTAGAATCGTACCTCAGAAATCAAAACCAAGAGGTATAATCAGGGATTTAATATTTTGTTCTTCCAACAGCAAGATCACAGTCAAAGCACTGTATTTGGGCTTGGGCGTAATACTGTGGGGCAAGTATTGGCAAGTTGAAAGTAGTTCAGTCAAGAGCAGCTGAAGCGATTAAAAGATATAAAAAGACAATGCGTGCAGAATGAAGGAGACAGCTGACAAGCTGAATGAAGAAATACCTTTTACATGCATGTGAAAGGTGCGTTAAGTGAGGGGGAAAAGGCAGTTGTCTTCAGCAGTCTGATCGTGCAAGACTGACAATGGATTTGAACAGCAGCAAAGCAAGTAGGGAAGCTTGATAAGCAGAAAGTCAGTTGCATTCAAAGTAGAAACAAAAATTTGATTATTTCTCTTGGGATGAAGAAAAACACATCTGCTCCATAAATTTTAGCAGTAAGCCCCCATTTACTGCGGCAGGTCTTGGGTACAAATGCTGGTAAGCATGGGCAGAGCAGATGCCTCTTGTTTTCCAGCGGTACCGTCTGCCTGCTGCTGCCAAGCCCGGGAGCCCAGGTGGTGCAGGGCAGGCCAGAAGTCCCCCGCCGAGCCTCGTCCTGCGCGGTGCCGGCGGGGAAGGCACAGCCCTTGGCAGCTGCTCTGCCGTGGGCAGTGCCCGAAGGTGCACAGAGCGAGAGAGCTGGGACCCAAACAGGCCGTGCCAGCAGTGGGTCAGTGTGTTTGCGTCGCGTATCACCTGGTGACAGCAGAGTCTGGCAGAAGAACCTGGGCGCTGCCTGGCGTGGCAGAACCGTTCCCACGTCCCAGCTCTGCTCAGTTCGGTGCTAGCAGCAGTCAGTGCCCGGGAGTCCTGGTCGGGGGACAGCTGCAGCATGGCAGTGGGTCTTTGTGCTCCTGCCGTCGTATGTCACGGTGCGGCTTCGGAGGTGGTCTGTTCTCTGTGTGACCAGAGTGTGCGGTCTCGCATCTCCATTCACAGAAACTAAAGCTCCTTCTGTGGAGTGTGTTTCTCCTGCAGCTGGGAATAAATTGGGATAACAAAGCCTGGTCTTCACATTAGGCAGCTAGGATCCTCTCTGGCTGTACATGTTCTTTCACAGAGCTGTGTTAGGACTTCAGTTTACTTACAGAGTAGAAAATGGATTTTACCACACTTGATTGGTAAGGCTTCCGGCATT